CAAGGGCTCAGAGAGCCACAAGTTTACTAAGATCAGAGTGTCAGTACTACATGAAACCAGGACTTGAGAAGAGCTCTCACTAACTCTTCAGCCCACCATTTTCCTACTGCAAAATGTTTATTTACATGCAGTCTAGCCTGGACTTAGAGAGAGGGCTAGGTGATCTCATACTCTCCAATTTACAGAGTGTATGTTTAATGTACTCTTTCATCAATACGTGGCACTCATATTCTTTGAAATTAACCTCAAAATTCAGTTTCCTAAATAAAAAACAGACAGTAACATCTGCAAATAGTACAAAACAAACTATTTACCACTCCAAAGAGTTTTCCAGAAGGGATATACAATTTAACAAACACATAAATAAATAAAAAGAACCAATGAACATATACACATGTTAATGTTGAAGAACTCTCTATTACCTAGTCAGTGCTCATGAAACTCGTGGTAACATTTAAAGAGTACCTAATGCATACACAGGCATAACTAAAAGATTAGATTCTATACTAAAAGAATTAGATTCCATACTCCTTGACTCCAAGAGCCTGTAATCTTAGTATCAGAGGCAAGACAAGCATGCAAAGGACACTGAAGAACAAAGGTGACGTACAAATATGCAAATTAACATAATGCAAACCAAACACTTCTGTGCTAAGGACATATGTGCCTAGTGAGATTCAAAAAGAAGTATATTTAGCATTTTCGTTAATCAATAAATGATTGTGAAGATAAGAAACACCATGTATAAGACATCTTGAATAATCAATAGGGGCTTATTCTTAGGTTCACTTAAAAATACTACTAAAATTCTCCCTGGCTGGTGTGGCTCAGTGGATTAAGTGCTAGCTGGAGAAGCAAAGTGCCACCATTTTGATTCCTAGTCGGGGCACATACCTGGGTTATGGGCTGGGTCCCCAGTGGGGGGCACCTGAGAGGGAACCACACACTGATGTTTCTCTCCCTCTCTCCCTCCCTTCCTGTTTAAAAATAAACATATAGGACTTCTGGCCAAGATGGAGGCGTAGGTGGAAATACTGTGCCTCCTCACACAACCAAGTTTAAGGACAATAAAGTTTTAGTAACAAAAATGCAACCAAACACAGAAAATTGAACTGTACAGAAGTCCGACTACAATGAATCATTCAGCCAGACCGGTAAGAGGGGTGAAGTCAGTGGCAGAGTGAAGTCTGTCAGGCAAAAGTGGCCTGACCGACCCAGGAGCACAGGAGGCAGTTGGCAGATCCCAAATGTAGGGTGGCAACAGGTGGACCCAGTGAGGGCGCAAGGTGGCTACCTGACTGCGGTCATACATTTGCACGCAGATAAAACAGATGAAGGAGCAAGCAGTGAGACAGACCGCACAGGCTAGGACCCCAGTGCCTGGAGTTAAAGTCTGAAAGCACCAACCGGAGAAACTTTTGGGGTCGAGGTGCCGGGAGAAGCTCCCAGGCTCACGGAAAGTTTGTTGGAGAGACCCACAGGGTCCTGGAGGGTGCACAGGCCCACACACCTGGGAGTAAGCACCAGGAGAGCCCAGTTTGCTTTTGGGAAGTAGCAGAGGGGACCAAAAACCCAGAGAGAGCATGGAATAAGCACCATTGCCCCTCTCTGACCCTGCCCCCACATACAGTGTCACAACCCAGCAACTGGGTCACCCCACCCTGGTGAACACCTGAGGATCCTCCCCTCATACGTAATAGGCACGACCTGACCAAAACATTATGGCTCAAGTAGAAAAAGAGCTCAAAGCTCCAGAGCCAATACTTCTAAGTGACAAAGAGATAGCTAATCTATCAGATGCACAGTTCAAAACACTGGTGATCAGGATGCTCATAGAACTGGTTGATTTTAGTCACAAATTAGAGGAACAAATGAAGGCTAAACTAATTGAAATGAAGGGAAATGCACAGGAAACCAACAGTGATGGAAAGGAAACTAGGACTCAAATCAAGGGAGTGGACCAGAAGAAAGAAAAAAAATGACCAAACAGAAAAACACAAAGAAACAAGAATTCAAAAAAATGAGGAGAGGCTTAGGAACCTCCAGGACATCTTTAAACGCTCCAACATCCGAATTATAGGGGTACCAGAGGGGGAAGAGGAACAGCCGCAAGTAGAACACTTATTTGAACAAATAATAAAGGAGAACTTCCCCAATCTGGCAAAGGAGACAGACTTCCAGGAAATCCAGGAAGCTCAGAGAGTCCCAAAGAAGTTGGACCCAAGAAGGAACACACCAAGCACATCATAATTATATTAGCCAAGATTAAAATAAAAGAGAGAATCCTAGAAGCAGCAAGAGATAAGGAGACAGTCATCTACAAAGGACTTCCCATCAGACTGTCAGCTGATTCCTCAAAAGAGACCTTACAGGCAAGAAGGGGCTGGAAAGAAGTATTCCAAGTCATGAAATCCAAAGACCTACATTCAAGATTGCTCTATCCAGCAAAGCTTTCATTTAGAATGGAAGGACAGATAAAGTGCTTCTCAGATAAGATCAAATTCAAGGATTTCATCATCACCAAGCCCTTATTATATGAAATGTTAATGGGACTTATCTAAGAAAAAGAAGATAAAAAAAATATGAACAGTGAAAGGATAGCCAATTCAGTTATTAACAACCACACCTAAAACAAAAGCAAACTAAGAGGACAGCTAGATCAGGAGTGGAACCACAGAAATGAAGATCACATGGAGGGTTAACAACAGGGGAGTGGGAGGAGGAGAAGGGGGGAGAAGGTACAGAAAATAAGTAGCATAGACGGTAGGTAGAAAATAGATGGGGGCAGGGCAAGAATCGTATGGGAAATATAGAATCTAAAGAACTTGTGACACATGAACATAAACTAATGGGGGGGGGAATGGTGGGGGAGGGGTGTGCAGGTTGAATGGGAATGAAGGGGGGGAATGGGACAACTGTAATGGCATAATCAATAAAATATATTTAAAAAAATAATATACATATAAAATCTTTTAAATAAATAAATAAAATCTTTAAAAAATAGTACCAAAATTCCAACCTATTTAAAAGACAGAGTTTATGAAGGAATGTAGTAATTAATACAGTACTTTAAAGTGCTTATAGATATTAAAATTTTTTAAACTAGTATCAATATCAAGGTTCCTTCTTCTTATTAACACTATCTCTAATGCTGCCTTTTCCCAATTTTTATTTTTTTATTTTTAATTATATTTTACTGATTATGCTATTACAGTTGTCTCAATTTCCCCCCTTTGACTCCCTACACCCAGTACTGCTCTGGGAGCTAGGTATACCAAGACAAAAACTAACATCATGAATACAGAGGTTCTACAACATATAAAAGTACACCAACAAAGGAAAGGCCACATGGGAGAGACAAAATAAGGAAAGAGGAGTATAAATAATGCCCATTGTTTGATATATTTTCTAAAAGCCACAGACTATAACTGAGGCCATGTTTTAAGATGGGTAAAATGCAGAGACTCTCTGTCATGGCTGGTTTTACATTCATGATGATTTGTTCTGGGAGTTACATTCTTACTGTTTCAAATTAAATACAAGCACACAGTCCTTCGGCACATCAGACACTTTGGCTGTTACACCGCTTATTTTTCAATCCAATACAATAGTAATAAACTGAGTCGATGCAGACTCAATCATGCCCTCCACATGAGGGCCCCTCTGTCACTCTCAAAGTATCCCTAGGCAAGTCTGAGACACAGAATCTTCACTCAATTTCTTGTCCCTGTCATTTTAATCCATTCAAAATTCCTCTAATAAAAGAATAACCACCATATCTGAGACACTTTAGACCCCCTTTGGGGAAATGAAATTGATTTTCTTCATCTTCACACAAGAGGATCACTGGGTAACAATATTGTCTAATCATATCCATAAAAAAGGTAGGCAACATTCTTTACTATACCAGAGGCTGAAAGGTTTTGTGAAGTTCCTATGGTAGAAGTAAGAATTCAGCCTGATGTTGCTATGTCATAAATTTAATAAGTATAAAGGTGTCTTCTAACCAAGAGAGTAAGTGCTGTGGGACATCCACCTGCTCCAAGTTAGCCGCAATGGGAGAGTAGTCAAGGCCACAGGTAAGGGTGAGGTTACTGAGGGATCAGCTCCACATTCTCCCCACTTTACACTTAACCATATCCCTCCCCTTCTTTTCTTGCCACACCTAACCAAATGAACCTGCCTTTGATCCTTTGACTCTAAGGTAAAGAATATCTGAGGGCACTTTTCAAAGAGAAAATTACAACAGAAAAAACACAACACAATTTTGGGAGCCTTAAACCACCTTTCCCAACTCCCAAATTCATTATTAGTATATGTTTTGTAGAATTGCATGAAGAAAGTTTAAAATATGGCTGAAACCTAAAAGAAGAATATGAAATAGTAGAACAGTAGTTCATTAATACTTTTTAAAACAAACTAACATGGGACTGCAACACTCAATAAGAATAAAAGCTAAGGTGCTCTGAGTGAAGGAACAGTGTGAGCCTGAAGCCCCACCAGCTCAGCCTCCCCTGCCCCAAACCCAACCCCACTAAAAACACCTGCTCTGTCAAATCCCACAGATATCCACTGAGCTAGAAAAAGAACACGGATATTCAAAATATGTACACTATCATGCCAAAATCTCCTCCTGGCACTGAGGACTGCCAGGGAAGCCTCCAGAAATACTCCTGTGGCTTCTGTGGGAAGAACATACCCTCTAACAAGAATTGCTTTCAAGGTACAGCTTGCAATTCAGAAAGTAGTTCCACTTCTCAGTGTTCCCTGTCCCCTCTTATTCCTCTGCATGTCTACTATGTAAAACAATACAAAACACTTTGGACATACAGTTCCACAGCACACTGTATATTATAAGATGCTCAATTTTCCATAGTTTCCCTAAGTTTTAGTAGGGATACACTGGAAAACTCTGTGAGGCCAAAAAATGTAATGTGTTCCTCAAAGTCCAAATCTCTATAAATAAACATCGAAATCATTTATTAGCTATGAGAACTAACCTGCAGACACGGGCTGGAAAATATAACTTTTGCCAAGAACGACATAGATACTGCGAATGATCAATCACCCTGATCCAATCAAGTTCATCCATTGACACTTCAATGAAGTATGAATAAGACCTATGAAACAAAAAGAAAAAAGCAGAAAAAAGAACCAAATTAAAATAACAACACAATGTTATACTTTAATAAAACATTAAAAGGCACAAAAACTATACTACTCATAAATTACATTTTCTGCTTAACAATCACATTTGGATAATGATAAAATCTATACAGATCCCCATATTATATAGCATTCACCACAATGTGCTGAAATTCTCTCTCAGCACATCTGTCTGCTGTATTAGATCACAAACTGCTTAAGAACAAATACCATGCCACATTTATTTTCAAATATCCATGGTCTAGCACAGTGTTTGGCACATATCAGGCATGCAAGACATTTGTTCCTCTTCAAACAGGGTCAGGATGCCTGGCTCAGCCCCGATCAGCAGATAAATGAGGCCCTGACAAAAACAGGACAGAAAACGGAAGTAGGTGCCCCTTCTCCTTCTACCTTCCCTGGCCTGGAAACTCAGCCCTATCTATACTCCCTGGAGGAAAGCCAATTCGACTGGTCCCCCACAGAGGCCATCTTCTCTCCCACTCTCTTACCACCTCACACTTACATGCAGCCTGAGGGAAAATACATGACATGGGTGAAAAGATAATACAGGTTTATTTTGGGTACAACTTAAAATTTGCCAGCTAATAATCTGGCAGTAATGAAAATAGCCTATCATACTTCCCTAGTCAGCTACACTGAAGCATTACATGCTGGTCCCATACTGAACAAATCTATATTTCCCTGTCAGAAGCCAAATTTAAATTTGAAATGAGTATTATTTGTACTGTAATATCAACAGGAACAATCTCAGAAGATTTAGGTGACCATAAACGTCAGCCTGCAGCCAACCGCTGTGACCAAAAAGGTCAGCTCCCTTTGTGCCATCCCTGTTTTCTGCTGTCCTCTCTCGCCCACTCATTTTATCACTCAGTCTCAGCCTGGTTATAGCCTCTCACTGAACCTCCCTGGATTATCAGAAATGCAGGATATAAAGTTACAACACATGTCAGAATCTTTTCAGTTTAAGATTCTGAATTTTTCACCTTTGCTTAGAATGATAACAACTTCTGTGAGAAAAGAATGTTGTATGGTAAACTTAAGTCCCCTGTGAACGAAACACACATACTAAAACAAAGTGGTCTGCAAGTACTTAACATCATGGAAATGATCATCACTACTTTCAGTTTCAAACATACTAACCTTTTCTTTTATCATTTTTATAATATTTCAGTATTAATTAAATGAGTGAGTATATGTATAAAGGTTTCTATAATTGCCCATGCCATATAAAAACAATGAAAATGTTGTATAAGTATTTTACTATTATTTTTCTTAAGATTTTATTTCTTTATCTTTAGAGAGGAAAGGAAGGAGAGAAGGAGAGAAATATCAATGTATGGTTGCCTCTCAAGAGTCCCCTGCTGGGAACTGGCCTGCAACCTAGGTGTGTGCCCTGACTGGGAATGGAACCGCGACTGTGTGGTTCGCAGGCCCGTGCTCAATCCACTGAGCTATGCCAGCCTGAGCTCAGTATTTTACTATTACTAATCAAACTCTTAGAAATGATATGTGAATTACCTCCATTTAGCCAAATAAGCATTATATTATATCCAACAAGATATGTGGAGAGTATTATGCTAGGTAAAATAAGCCAGACAGTGAAAGACAAACACCATATGATCTCACCTATAAGTGGAACCTAATCAATAAAACAAGTGAACATAATAGAACCAGAGACACTGAAATAAAGAACAAAACTGACAGTGACCAGAGGGGAGGGGGCTAATAACAGGGGAAAGACAGGGAAGGGTCAAGGAACATGTATAAAGGACCTATGGACAAAGACAACAGGGGTGGTAGGGAAGGGTTGAATGTTGGAGGGGCATGGGTAGGGCAGGGGAGAGTAATGGGGGAAAATGGGGACAACTGTAATTGAACAACAATAAAAATACTGGGGTAGGGGAGTAGTGGGGAGAAAATGCAGACAACTGTAATTCAATAATAATAAGGTAATTTATAAAATAAAATTAAAATTAAAAATACATTCTTAATTTTTTAAAAAACAGACAACTTAGGGACCTTGAAGACCCATGAACAAGAATTGCTGACTCCCACTTCATAAAGCTTTCCTCATACTTGGCTCTCATAACCTAAATGGCTACAGTGGTAGCCAGTGGTGCTAACAAGAAAAATGAACTAACCTGCAAGATTTGCAGGTATCATCATTAATAATACTAAGCCCTTCACACCCAGACTCAAAGAGGCATAAGTAGGACCGAGGGGACCCTCTGTACATCAAATTTCTGGTAAGTAGGGTTTAGGGATAAGCAGCAATGAAAGAGACAGTTCAGCTCTTGGTCACCCATTACCGCTCTGCTACTTTGGCCATCATGGCTGAACCCCAGAAACCACAGTGGGTAAAAGTATAAGAATGGCTAGAAGGAGGGCAGAAACTTGAAACTACAGCAAAAGTAAGTGAACTCCTGGGCTAGAGAGCACCATATTTTTTGACAAATTTCTTTTGTTTTGAGAATGATATTTATCCACACACTTAAAAACATTGTTTTTCTTCATTTATAAGATAAAATGCATTTTAAAAGTTTTTATAACAGCCATGACTGGTGTAGCTCAGTGGATTGAGCGCAGGCCTGCGAACCAGAGGACTGAGGTTCAATTCCCAGTCAGGGCACATGCCTGGGTTGCAGGCCAATTCCCAGCAGGGGATGCACTAGAGGCAACCATACATTGATGTTTCTCTCCCTCTCTCCATCCCCTCTAAAGGGTAAAATAGTCACAATGTATTAATTAAAAGTGAAGTTAGCTTTTTACACATCTAATTTTTATTTTGTAAAACTAAGTATGGTTTTACTGGTTTCTTTTTTGCATGCACATGTATCAGGGAAAAAGAGAGAAAGACATACTATGCATAACAAAAAATACCAATTAGATATTTACAAAGATTAATAATGGGTGGTGAGATTATCAGCCATTTTTATTTCCTTGTGCTTTTCTCTATGTCCTATGTTTTCCACAATAAACACACATTCATTATTTTCATAAGCAGAAAAAAGCAAAAAAGTTATTTTTTCAAGGAACAGATCTTTTAACTCTTCCCCCAGAATGAAACTTCAAGAGAAATAATTAAGTGACCACAAAGAAATAAATCATCAAATCTGTAAAACCAAAGTAAATGACCACAAGGTAAGGCCACCTCAACCAAATACAATGTTAGTATCTCTCCAAGCTGGATAGACTCACCGGCTATCTCGGTCCCACAGTAGTATCCGTATGTGATTGATAATGGACGGCTGACCTAGCTTAATCTCAATGCCAGAACGGCAGTCATCATCAATTGGATGCCTCGAAAATCCATGGTCCAAATCATAATTTTGAGTGTCACCATCTAGTAAGGCAGATTTCAGCTCTCCTTTTACAACCTGGGCTCCATACTTCATAGTTGCAATGTTTTCTTCTGGTACTACAGTTAAAAATAGAAAAAAAAAACAAACATGGTTAATGGTTAGTTATTAAATTATTCTATAATTTGGGGGGGGAAATGCTAGCATTCTAGTTGATTCTTGTATGTGCATTTAATTTTAAAATGGCAGAGAAAAGTCTATGGAAATAGAAGATATGGAATGTCTATAAGGGATTAAGATACCACCCACAATTTAAATTTAATGACACCATCATAGCCACAAAGTGCTTGGGACTAATGCTATTAAGAAAAAATTGGGCCCTGGCTGGTATAGCTCAGTGGATTGAGCATGGGCCTGCGAACCAGACAATCGCGATTCGATTCCCAGTCAGGGCACATGCCTGGGTTGCAGGCTGGTTCCCTGCAGCCAGTTCCCAGCAGGGGACACACAAAAGGCAACCATACATTGATGTTTCTCTCCCTCTCTCCTTCCCTTCCCCTCTAAAGATAAATAAATAAAATCTTAAAAAAAAAAATTGGTAATACTGGGGGGTGGGGGACATGTACTAACACAGACAAATCAGCTCCGCTGAGTTCCTTCTATTAGTAGCTTTAATTTAATATCTATTGTACAAAAATAGCAGGTAAGATGACCTATACCTGTACCATCAGGACTGAACATAATATAGAAAAAGCAAAGGAAACAGGTCAGACATCTATTAAAATAACAAAAAAAGAGAGTTTCCAATATAGCAAAGCTATTGGTCATACATGAGTGTACTAAATCAATTAATTTACCTAAAAATATATATGTTTAAAAGAAGATATGTTTTTACTTCACTTGAGTATTTTTAAAAATGAAAATTCAGACAGACTGTCATCAAAATCAGTATTATGGTTATAAGTAAATACCCCTCCTTCTCCAACAGTAGATTTGGTAAGTGTCAATTGTTTCTGGGACTCTGAAGTCTGCTATGCACATTTTGCTTCACAGACCTGGAACCCACCCTCCAGGTACTAACATTCTAAAACCCACTCTCCCCAGAGAAACTGGAGGCAGAATAAAATAGATGTCAAGAGTGTGAGCTTCAAAGACAGTTTAAATAGTGTTCTCCACCTCTAACCAAGTGTATACCTTTGGGACGCTACCTCCTCTGAACTTAAATTTCTCAATAGGGCAATACCTATACCCCAGGTGTTTCTGTTTTGTTTGTCTGTCTGTTTGTTTGTTTGTTTTGTTTCAAGGATTAAATGACTTGTTGTTTGCAAGGCACACAGTAAGCTCCAAAAAAAGACCACCATTATTATCATGAACCATAATTTTAAAAGCACACAATAAAAGAAATAAGCAAGTTTACACACTGTAAATAAATAGTGAATTCTCACAGTACATATACATCTAGGCTATCTGATTTGAATAGGATAAAGTATGAGCCATAATTAGGCTCTTAGGGAAAGGAGGTAATTCATTATTGCAGATTACTTGAAAAATGTGGGATTTAACTTTTTTTTTCAGGCCAGCTGGGTAGTTCAGAGTGTCGTCCTGATATGCCAAGGTTGCAGGTTCAGTCTCAAGCCACGGTACATACAAGAATCAACCAATAAATTCTTAAATAAGTGAACAACAAATCAATGTTTCTCTCTGTCTCTCTCTCCCTGTGGCCCCTCTCTCTTAACAAATTAGTTACACACAGTTTTAATTTTTTTTCCAAATGAAGACAGGTAAGAGAATGGCTCCAGAAGTCAATAATAAGTGCAAGTGAAATGCAATTGGGGTGGTTTAGTTAACTTGCAAAAACTAAGGCAACTCAGATGCAAAACAAAATAAAACCTAGTCATGCTCAATTTCTTACCACCAGAAGCTTAAGTGCCACAGATTTATAATTTCTTAGTTCTATTAGATCATGGTAATCACAGATGTTGTTCATACTTACTTTCCATTTATTTAACAAACCTTATTAATTCCTTTGACTTGCTCCTCATCAAAATCCTTTGAGTGTAATATTACTACTACATGCATTTTCCAGATGGGGAAGTAGGGAAAGGAAAGAGTTTAGATAGATTTTCTTGCCCAGGGACATACAGCCAGCAAGTATCAGAGCTGCAATCGGAACACAGGCAGTCTGTCTCCAGGGTCCCCACTCTAACACCTCCCTTGTGAATGGTTTCTGATGGGAAGAACATATTTACCCCCTCTTCCTAACCCCTTCCATATAAGATGATCTAAGACCCAGTGGAAAGAAACAGACAGTATAATGTATTTTTTAAAAACTTGGACTTAAAGCAAGAAAATTTAAGTTTGAGACACAGGCTCTACCACCAACTACCTGAGAGAGGTCTCTTGGTCTCTGTTAATCTGTTTTCTCATCTAAAAATAACACATTGCCCAACCCACCCAAAGAATTACTATTAAGATTATGCTATAAATAATATATGCTAAAAAACTGTGTAAGTATAAAGAATCTGATCAGTTAAAAAAACATCCACTGCAGACTCATTCTGTGCCAGATACCACTCAAGTACCCTGGGACTACCTCGATAGACAGATAGGCCCTCCCTCCTGGTGCCTCCTAGAGATTAAGCACTTTATAAACCAAGAAACAAACAAAAGCTTCAAATTTGTGCTTTTGAAATATCAGTGATGTATAACTACTTGGTAAAAGGAAACATGAATCCCTTACTGCTAAGTATAAGATGTGCAATCCAAAGTCTCTTGCTGCTGACCAGTGAAACCATCTCCTCCAGTTCTGACAGCACTAGTCAAGACCAAGGGAAAAAGGGAACATGAGCTTTCAGATTTAGAAACTGCCATTATTACTCTTTGATTCTATAAACACAAGCATCTTTATCTCTAAAATTTATCAAGCTAGGAATAACATACTAGGCACAAAAGTTTCAAGTGACTATAACTAAAACCCTAAAATAGAAATGAAATTTCTAGCATAAGTCTAAGTCATCTTTTGAAGTTTATTCAAGGGTACTCGAGAAATTTTCTAACTCTTTTTGGTACAGATTCTCAGAAAGTATCTTTCGCTTTAAAATGGGCATCATTTACACAGTGCAAATTCTCCCATGGTAACTACAGTCTGAGTACCAGGATAAAAATATAACTCCAAGTATTTTTTTTTAGTCTGTAGCTAAATGATGAGTTCAATACAAAAGCTGAACGTGAGAAAATTCAAGTCGTAATAAAATAATTGAAACTATAAATATCCTTACTGCTTATATTTGTCTATCAGTTGAGAAAAAAGCTCTAAAAAAATATGGTGGAGGGTCCTGGCAAGATGGCAGGAGAGTAGAAGGATCTTTCTCACACCTCCTCCAGAACCAACTGGAAATAAAACTAAAGAGAACACCCACCCCAAATAAATGAAGACTACCTGAAAAAGAGATTTTTAACCAAGAACAGCCAGGAACCAATTAAAGAATGGTAGGAAGGACAGGGATGTGAAGGGGAACTGCTCGTTCCCACGAGCTGAAGTTATGGGGTGGCTGTGGGAGCTTCCCCTGGAGAAAAGCCTGGACTCCAGACCTGGCTCCCAAGCACGGAAAGCACCAGTGCCAGGATGAGCCACCGACGTAGCACCCGGTAAGGAAAGGCCATGGGGTTTTTGGCTGCTAGGGAGAAACAGAACCACTGGGTTTTTTTTTTGTTTTTTGACTTACAAGGGCAAAAAAGCAGGTTTTGTGCTCACATCCATTCACCAAGCAGGTTTATAGGCTCAGTGAAGGGAAGACAGCACGGACCGGAGAATCTGCAGTGGGAGGCACTGGGGGGAGACATGGGAGAACAGCTGTGAGGATTTCTGTAACAGGATATACCTGGATCCCACTGCAGCCATCTTTCTTAAGAAGAGCAAGCCCTTCCCAAGGGAAAAGCAATCACCCTACTCTTTGGGGTACCACTTGCCCCACCCTATGGAATCCTTCCCGCCCCTTCCTACATCTCTTTTTTTGTCTGATTTTTTTTGTTGTTTTTACTTTTTTCCCCTTTCCTTCTTTCATTTTTTCCTACCCTGCTTTTTAATTCCTGCTGAGGAAAGAGCAACATACATAGACTCAGAGGGTGTCAGAGACTGGCTTCATAGTACAGCCATTCCATATACTTTCCTGAGAACCACACTGGCCCTTACCCCTTATGGGAAAGCCACAGAAAAACACCCTCCTAGTTTCTGGTAGACCCTAAATCTGGGCTCTGGAGGTGCCACGCACTAGCCTCATAGGGGCTCCACCCTGTCAAATTCAGAGAAATAATCCCAGACAGACTCAGATGAGTGGCTTGGGGGGCTAGGGAACACACCCACCAACTTCCCTGAAGTGTGAAAGGCACCTTCCACAGGAGATCCAGGAGTCCCATCCTCCTGATTCTGCCAGAATCCCTCTCAGAAACAGTCGGGTCAGTGACTAGTCTACGACTGACAGCAGGCCAGCAGGCCAGCAGGCAGAGGTGGGTGGAAGCAGATGACGCCCTGCCTTGGGACATTTGCTGACTTACCCCTAGGCCCAGTGCTGATAAAACCAGTCTTATGGCACAGCTTCAGCTATACTATACACAGCCAAGCCTGGAGGAAACAACCGCAAGCTGTAAATCACTTCTAGCTTCAAATAGGTTGCTGAGGGCTAGATGTGGGCAGCACCTGACATTGGCATACACCAGCCTTGGACAACAAGAAAGCTGTATCCAAAGGGAGAACCTGACTGGCAAGCATTGAACTCTCCAGAGATGAATTTCAGTTTGTTCTTTTTCACTGTTTTCATTATTTTTTTCTTTTTCATAGCCTTTTTATTATTTTTTAAAATTTTCTTCTACTTTTGTTACTCTCTTTTTCTTTCATCTCTCTTATTTTACTGACTTTGGCTTACACCATTTCCCCCTTATTCTTCCACTTTCTTACTTTAGTTATTCTTTGTCTTTCTTTTTCCCTTTTCCTCATTTTCCTCTATCTATTCATTATTCATATTAGTTATCTTCCTCTTCTTTCATAATCACGTTTCTTTCCTTTGGTCTTCTCTTATTATTTTCCCCCATTCCTTTACTCTACTATTTCATCTCTCTTTCC